GTCTTTTTGAGACAGGGTTTCCTTATGCAGTTCAGGCTGGCCTTGAGCTCACTCTGTAGCCTAGGCTGGTCTCTAACTTAATGATTCTCCTGCCTCAGCCTCCTGAGTGCTGGGATTACAGAGATGTACCACCACTCCTGGCTTCTTGCATTTTTAAAATGTCTTTCCTTATATATAAAACCTCCTTTTGAGATTAACTGTTCTCTGATTTCTCAAGCTTTATTTTTTATTTTTTAAAATGATATTCACACTTTTTTGTTTTGTTTTTTAATTTTATGTATTGGTACAAGATCTTGCCACACAGCTTGGACCCATAGTCATCCTCCTGTCTCAGCCTCCCCAGCACTGGGATTACAGGTGTGCGCCACCACATGAGGTCTTGGTGACTGGCTCAGAACACCTGGAACAGGGCAGGCATGGCATTCGGTACCAAGGACTGAACCTGGGTCCCTGCACTTGCCTAGGCAGGTGCTTAGACTGCGGAGCTATTGTCACAGCCCTAATTTCTCAAGATTTATATACCCCTTAGGCTTGGATTAAATTTCTATTTTTGCTGCCTGGACTCAGCCCTATCCCTGTTAAAGCTGTGAGACTTTTCAGATCCTTCCAGCTTAATTGGTACCTTAGGCAACCTCTGTTCCAGCAACAGTTAAGAGTCCTGGATGACAGTTTTTTGCTTTTTTAGGTATAAAAGCAATCATGTGTGTCTGAGCTGAGGTAGGAAACATGTATCTTGTGCTGACAGCTCAGTTATCCTCTGCCTGAATCAGCATGTGTTTCTCTATCCTTCTTAGTGTGATACCAAAACACTAACATTCCAAAATGTATGACAGTGAGCCACAGAGCAGCCAGATTTTTCAGTTCAACTAAATTTAGAAACTAAAATGAATTTTTAGAAGAGGAAGCTCTGTATTTCTAGTGATCTTCACCTGCATAGTTAAACTCTAACCACTAAGATACGTATGGATAAAAGCAATAATCTTCATTTTCTAGGATGGTGGTGGTGAATCTATGGCACACTTGCTACAGTTGGTGTTTGTTATCATCAAAAGCTCTAAAATGTTTGCCATTACTGCTCTAGGAAAAGAAATTATGGTTGAGAGGCCAATGACCTAAGCCAAAGGAAGAAAGAGAAAAAAAATTCTGTTATGGAGAATTCTAGATGACAGCTCATTAAAAATCAACTGTGGAATGTCAAATTGTCAAATACTACAACCTCAAGAACCATCATTTGGGAATCCAGAGTCTGTCTTTACTTACAGAAGGCTACATATACAATATTCTAAGGTAGACAGGAAATAAGGCCCTAAAAACAGATCAGATCATTCTTGTCTTGCTCTTCTAGGAAGATGTCTCCATTCTCTTATTTAAAAAAAATTTTTTTTATTATTTAAGATTCTGGCCGACCGGCTGGCTGGTGCTGAGGAAGCCATGGTGCGGTTCAAGCACAAGTACCTTCTGTGTAAATTGGTGTCAGAAGAACCTCGCTCCCATCTAACTCTGGATGACTGAGTGCTGGGCAACCTTGTACGGGACACAATCACCCGAGTGCATGGGACTTTTGGCACCGCCACCTGCTCGATTGGCTTCATGGTTCAATACCTCAACGTCTACACTGGAATAGTGCTACTTCGATGCTGGAAGGAGTTTTATCAACTTGTGTGGTCAGCTCTTCCTTTCATCACATACTTGGAGAACAAAGGACACCACTATCCTTGTTTTTTCAACACATTACACATGGGAGGTACAATTAGAACATGTCAGAAGTTCCTGATTTAGAACAGCAGGAGACAGCTGTTGATCCTGTTGCAGAACTGTAGTGATGAAAGAGAACGGGTCTTGGAACAACCAAGATGCTCATCACCTGAAGAATGGATGAAAAAGATGTGGTATTTTTATACAATGGAGTATTACTCAGCTATAAAGAATGATAAACTTGAAGCATTTATATTTAAGTGGATGCCACTTGACAATATACTCGTAAGTAAAATAAACCAGACACACATGTGTAAATATCATATAGTTTCCCTAGTATAAGAACTCAAAAGAAGAAATATAAATAGAAAGGTATAATACAACTAAAAGGAAAGCAAGAACTTGAGGACTAAATAATTAAGACAGGGAAAGGAGAAGAGCTAGGAAACATGACAGTGGCAAGCCGTACAGTTATATGTAGAAGATGGGCAAGGCAATGATCCTGAGAATCTTCAGATTTTTGAATCTAGCAGTTAATTGGAAGGATTCTCACCCTGACTAACTATATATACTGACACCTGTGAACTAAGCAACTGCACTGAAGATGGCAATTTGTAATAGCAGGTTCATGCTTGGAGTGCCTGTCATTCTGGTCTTTTGAATACGGGCTGCTTGTCATGACATGCCAGTTGCTGCTGTGCTGTCTCTTGGGTAGAAGATTGTTCAAAAAGAAGGGGGTGGTGAATGAAGGCAGGAGACAGGAAAAGGAATGTTGTGGGACTGTCTTGCTACAAGGTTATATACGGTTAGATTTCTGGACTTAGGTGTAAACATAAGAATTATATAATTCTTTATGCCTACTTTTAAAATATATTCTAATTTTTAAATATTTTTTCATCATATTCTGTAGGGACTTAAAGTTTAACATATCAATACTAGATGAAAAATACCTATTCCATGTTATGCCTAAGGTGTTTGATATTCAGACAGATAGTGAGGTTAAGTTTAACAGACTAGGTTATATGGCAATAACAATAAGCTTCTCTTCTGGAGGGTTAAAAATCTAAGTTTGCAGACCAAAAATTAGAAAAAAAGGAGGGCCTCAAGGAAAGCCAACATTTTGGCCCTAGCCTTCCAAGGTCAATTAAGAGTCAGGACATGAGAACTTGTATTGTAACGTCATATAACTCAGTAGTGTCCCAAATTTTCTGATCAAGGAGATTATGAGGCCAAAGAGGAAAGTGATTGGTGATGTACAGTGTGCCTAAGGAGAGTCACATGGAGAGAAAACATTCTCTCAGGCTTTCACAGAGAGCACACTGGCCAAGCAATGGCCGTGACTCATCCACATGGCTGACACTGACAAAGGATCTACAATCTGAGGTACAGGATCACAGGATAAATATGAGGGGATTTGACTGACCTTATAAGATCCAAAAGCTACAACTCTTGTTGCATAGGTCTTAACCATCCAGCAGAAAAGTATAAAAACAAAGTATAAGAAGTAAAGCCATGCTGTTATGTTGAGCTGTAGGGTACTCAGGTCAACAATTTCTGACATCGCCAGTCCAGCGGAAGACCCAATACTATTATGGGCTACTGGACTCTTTTAGACTATTTTGATGAGTTTACACACCTATAATATTCAAATGATGGAACTAAACAAAAAAGGGTACACAGATGAATGTCCATTTTGTGTCTGTGTATTCAAATGGTTAGGACAGATACATAGTTACATTCTCTTAATGAATAGAGGGATTTGTTCTAATAGTTTTTGTAAATAGGATATCATGTCTGCATCTTGTACAGCAAATAACCATTAGGAAGAGAGTATGCAATGTATTAATTATTGAAACTGTTTTACCAATTTGATTTGAAACTGTCTCATTGCTATTTGTTTCTCAATAAAATTATGGAAAAAAAAAAGAACAGGAAGCTATCCAGAAATTGTCACCAGAAGCTATTTACTAGAGGAGGAGTCTGGTGAGGAGCTTTCAGACAGTGCTGGTGAGGAGGCCACAGAAGTAATGCAGTGAACCAGCCATACACAGACTGCACTATGCCCAAGCCCACTTATAGAACTGAACTACAGTTCTCCAAATTGGAGGGCTCCCAACCAGAGGACCAATGGCCAGCTTTATTAGCATTCCCTGGGTGAACGGTTATATAGGCTGTGAAGGCTGTATAGACAACTTCTGTATATAAATGCTTGGACAAGCATAGGCTGAATAAATGTACTTAGCTTCTATAACCGTTAGCATGTTACAGAAGGGTATTATGGCTTGTAACCAGATGTTCCCATACCTCAAGTGCTCACAGGTTGCTTTTGGGAGGTGATTATGGGTGGTAAGTAGATTAGCCCACTGATGCATTTATGGCTAGGTGGGACATTGTGGTCAGAGGGAAGTCACTGGGGTGTGTGAAAAGGGTAACTATCCATCTCCTTTCTTGATCTCCACTTCATGTCCATGCCACCCTAGGCCTTGAAGCCTATGGACCAAAACCTCTATAAACTGAGCCAAAATAAACCTCAGTTGTAGCTCAGCAACAAAGCTTACAGAATTTATGTTTGACCAAGTAAGTCTCTTCCCCTGTCTACAGCCCTAGCCTTGGAGAGAAGATTGGCTACTTTGTGATGAGTTTCAAATATTCAGTAGTACACTTGAGGCTTTGTCTTTCCAATCCCCAATTCAAGACATTTATAATAAGAGATATTAGTAAGAAATACCGATAAAATGTTAATTATCTATTTGCAAAAAAAAAGACCTTTATTAACAGATGCTTGCAGTTTGTTGACTTTTTTGAAAAAAATCAAGTCGTAAATTTTTATTACAAATTAAAAATGAAGTTCTTAAAAAATTCAACTTGACCAGATGAAATAATTTAAAAACCTTTAAAGCTATATTGAGAAAAACCAGGGTTTAAAAAAAAAAACACATTTGTCATTACCAAAAAGAGACGTCTTTAGGTAAAAATAGTAAAAAACCCATGCTGCATAGATAATGAAGATAGTTCTAGTTACCTGGTAAATGGGCAAAGAGCAAGCACTAATGTCTTCAGTTCCAATCTTCTGTTCATTTCTTATTGCTGGACTTTCCTATTCGTTTCTTGCTGGATGACTAAACCGGATGATGGTAGAGATGTTAAACCGGCGCTTACTCAACCCCACCCTGCTCAGCCTCTGGAGCAGAGCGGAGGAATTCTCAGCTGGTGGATCGGGTGCTTTTGTCTCTTTGTCATCTTGTGGTTTAGGGTTTTTGAGGCGTCTGCGTAGGTAACTGAAGTTGCGAATGTACGGATGATGTTGAGGTGGCTGCTGACCTTGGGTCTCATCTCCTTGATTTTCCTTATCTTCTTTATTGCCCTCCTCTCTAGGCTGTCTTTGGCAAGGAGGGCCCCTGTGGAATTGTGGTCTATAACTTTGATACATATTCTGTCTCACTTGTCTACCTTGTTCTCCTGCACCCTGGCTGTCAGCACCCTCTATCACTTCTCCTTCCTTGCACAGGAGGGTTGGAATACTGTGGTGGTCGCTCATAGGGTCTCTGCATGTAGTAAGGTGGGAAACTTTGCCTGCAGTAGGGCTGGCATTGTTGAGCCTGGCCTTCAGGAACGCTTTCTGATCCCTCATTCTTTCCTCACTCTCACTGTTCTGGTAATTCTGCTGATAATTGCGTGGTAGACTCCTATGACACGGATAGTGTCTATAATGGTTAGAGTCTGCTGCATATTTACTGCCTTGAACTGGAACTCGACCAGGGTCTGTAACATTTGCAACCCTTTTTTCCCTTAATAACATCAAACTCCACAGTCTCTCCATCTCCTACACTGCAAAGGTACTGGGGTTATGCTTCTTTATGGAAGTCTGGTGTACAAATACATCTTCCTTGGTATCATTCCTGTTGATGAGGCCATATCTGTTTCTTACATTGAACCATTTTACTGATCCTAAAATCTTCGTTGAGATGACCTTCTTGTCCCCTGGTGCCCAGCTTGGTGTCAGCAGCGCTACGGAGGGGGAAGAGCGGGGACAGGGCTGCTGGGTCTTAGCCTTGCTGCTCATGGCTGCGGCTCTTGCCGGTGTGTGATGGTAACTAGGCCGATGGCAGCAATGGGGCTGCTCAGGGCTCTCTCCATTCCCTTTTAAACAGCATGAAACTGGGAGATGACATTGCTCCCTACTCCCACAGTGATCCTGTCCTTGGTTTCTTCTTTGAGATAGGGGCTCTCTGCAGTTCAGGCTGGCCTCGAACTCACCATGTACCCTAGGTTGGCGATCCTTTTCCTTAAGTTTCCTGAATGCTTGGATTACAGATGAGTACTCTCACACCCAGCTGTCCTTAGTTTCTTCATCTCTGAGACATTATATTTGTGTGAAAGCAGGAAAGCAGCACAGTCATGGTGTGATTCCACCTTGGCTTTTTGTCTTGCAGGTAGTGCAGAGGAAACACACTTTTTGGCAGAGTCCTGGTCTGACTGTGAAGTACCAGGAAAATATACTCATAGGAAATGAAAAGTATTATTCCTGACAAGAGTTGGAGACAGACTTTGTAGAAGAACAGGAACTGCGGCATGATGTGTTCTTAAACCAATGATAGAAGTACAAACACTGACCATCTGCCCTGGGTTTCAAGGGAGACATATTTATCTAGCTCTGTACAAAGGCTTCAGTTCTCAAAGTGACTAATAATGGAACTCAGCAGTTTGTCCTAATAGAACTGGTTAAAGACAAGCAGATTCTATTTGACTAGTTTGGCTTCCTGAGGTATAAATTTCCATCATAAATTATAGAGGTGTAACTTTGCCGCTTACCTCAGCAATCGTAGCTCTGCCAGCAACGTGGGGTTCTGTTGGGCCTTCTCGGGAGTGGGCTGGGAGGCCTGCTCATGCTCCAGGCGGAGGCGCTGGATCTCCTGCAGGATCTCTCTAGCAGGAGATGAAAGAAAGATGGTTGCCTATATTTCCCAGCTCCTGTTCTCTTTCTGTTACAAACTTTTACCCTTACAGTGCCTTCTGTACAAATCTCAGTGACTGCTTCCAAAAAAGACAAAGATCAAGATTTGGAGTGCATGCTTTCTAAATAGCAGCTCACCTGACATTTCCTCAATGAAATAATCCTGACAGAAAAACTTCAAAATACTTCTCAAGAATTTGAAAAATCTCCTGAAAAGGAAAATGACACTCTGAATGCTTTATTTACTCTGTTCCTCTCTGAGGGAAAGGAAAAGAGAACTTTTAGCCTCTACTGCAGGTCCAAGACCAATTTTCTGAGGCTTTCCTTGTCCCCATCAGGCTTATCTTATCCCTGACAACTGACTGAAGGTTAGGTGTCATTTCTTCTCCTGCATGCTATACTAGGTCTCCATGCCTTGAAATGGCTTGTTAAATTAGAAGCCAGTCATATATAGTATAGTGAACAAGGGTAAGCTCACTACACAGAACAAAACACTGTTAGAAGTAGTAGGGAAAGGAAGAATCTGCCAAGGGCAGAAGAAAGGCTCTCTGGACAACTAGCATTAGCAGCATGTATATATATGCATCAGTTAGAGTCCAGTACATTTCTTGAACTTGTGGGATCTTACAGCTAGCTACAAGAAAAACAAGAACCAGATACTCATGATAATTCTGAACTTGAAAATTGGGCTCAACTTCCGCATTCTTACCTGTTTTTGTTTTCCAATTCTGCAATGAGCTGTCTCTGCTGTTTGTTGGCATCAAAATTAAAGCTCACATCAGTGGGAGGACGAGTCTAAAGGAGAGAGATGAGATAGAGAGAGACAGAGACAGAGAGAGACAGAGAGACAGAGAGAGAGAGAGA